TGATGTCAGATGTCCCCTTTTTGAGTTAAACAGAATAAATTTATTTTCTACTTAAAATTTGGTCCATTTTGAGTAACTTGTAAATATTCAAAATCTAAAAAGAAAAAATTAAAATTCTATTTAGCACAAAACACTTATGATCTTGCAATGGTTTAATTAAAAAAAAAATTTTCTTGTAAATTACAATTTCAAAACTTCTTCTTTACCGTTATCGTCTCAAAGTTAAGTATTTTCGTTAAATTTCATTAAGTAAATGAAAAAAAAAACTTATGATCCTATTAATCAAAATAAAAGTACATAAAAAATTAAATTTATAAAAAGACAAAATTTTAGTGAAATTAAAGAAAATTTCTCATAAGTTTCATTTTAAAAATACAGTCTGTATGCACAAACTTGTATGTATATGTAAAATAATGTGTACGTTCATTTAAGAGCATTATGTGCGCTCGATCGCAAAACAAGTTTAATAAAACTAAATCACGTACAAAATCTGTTTAAATTTAAATAAAGATATTATAAAACGAAAAAGTAATAATCTAATAACAATAAAATAATTTAAAAAAAAAAGCAGTAATAATAAAAACAAAATGGAATTTAACAAATATTTTTGTTTTATATAAAGCTACTATCCTTTGATAAAATAAATTTCAACTCTATACCCAATATAATTAAAAATTTAGTTTATCTTTTTATTCATATATTATTTTGCACATCAAAACTCGTAATTAAATATATCAACCTTAAAATTTTGTCATTAACTTTAACAGCTTCTGATGCTATACGATCTTTCATTCAATATGCCTTCTTCATTTGTTTCGTCTTTGCTTGTTTTCTGTTTTTACATTTCATTGTACAAAATTTTTGTCATTTCAATTTTGATTTGATCAAAGTAGCAAATAAATTCAACTGAAAACTTTTAAGGAGTAATAAATTACATGAGGTAAGAATGAAAATGAGCGGAAAGAGGAAATTAATCAGGAAATTTTTAAGTCAAATAACGTCAGACAGGCCTGATAAAATAAAATATAAAAATCTTTTGCACGATTTTCTAATATTTTTTTCTTTTTATGTATAAAGTTTTTGGGGTATACTCAAATTTCAGATGCACATGCGTTTTTGAAATCAATTTAGTGAACGTAAGAAGGATTCAAATAAAGAAAATAAAATACAGATTTGTGCGTACATCTTTGGCAATTATAATATTAAAAATGAGTTTTTTTGCAAGTTTTACGGGGTATAAGTTTGAATTTTTGTTGATTATTAAAAAATTGTTTCTGTTTAGTTAATTTTTTATTGAATAAGAGTTTCTTTTAGAATAAGAATATGTAATAGTATCTCAGTACATGAGCAGGAACAAGAAATAAACTAATACTGCAAAAATTTAAATCAGTCATAAAAAAATGTACTTTTTGTATAAATTGTAAAAATTTGAAGAAGCGGAGTTTTATGGCGAATTATATTATTTGTCCACCAAACTGCAGCTTGTTATATTTTTTTCGAAATATATTTAAAATATATAATTTCATACAAAATTACATATTAGTATTATTACAAATCTCAAAATTTTCCAAAAAAATTTTTCGAAAATATTATATTGAGGCAACATATGTATGTATATCAGTGAAATTTCTTATGTCAAGCAAAACTTAAACTACCCAAAATGAAAAAGAGTCATAAAAAATAGCTGAAAAAAATACACTTGAAAGATTGGATAATCATTTTTGGAAAAATCGGATAATCATTTTTTAAATAACGAACGAAAGGGAATTAGTATTGAGTTGATGAAAAATTAGTAGAGATTAGACTAGAAAATCAACCAAAAAATGATTGACAACACAAAATATAGGTATATAAACTGCAGTCAAATATAAATTATTTATAATTACCAGAAAATGAGAATTAATACCAACAAGATCAAAATAATCAGAATTAGAAGCAATTACATTTTCAAACACAACAAAATTTAATATTAATCCAAATACCACACTAATGTAAATCACACTAATTTCTATATTTTTTCAATATCTTTCATTCAGGTATTTTCATTTTTTTATTTCTATGATATAAAATTTTCACATACATATTGTATAAAAATATACGATCATACATAAATAACACTTCTTATCACCATTAATCTCAGTTTGTAATCAAAATAACTTTAAAATTTCTTACATCATAAAATTTAAAAGAAAATTAAATTACATAGGACAAATATATACCATAAATTAAAAATCAAAGTTTATAAAAAATATTTCTAAATTATAATAATGTATCTCATAAAGAAATGTGGAATGAAGAACACACATACAAACATTAAAAAAAGTAGGTAATCTACCAAGTAGATGGCATTCTTAGTTAACACTCTGTTGCCTTAATGCACACTTTTCAAATATTTTAAATAATTTACTCGTAAATTATTGCTCTAATCTTTATGAAAGAGAAAAATTTTATTAGATCATATTTGTAGAATATATGATGAAAATTTTTTAAATTATTTTATTTATTTATTTTTCTAATAAAACGATCTTAGAAATTTAAAATGTTAATAAATACAAGGAACAAACTAAGAAAATTTTGATTTTCTTAACCAAAGTGAACTATATGAGCAATTTTCTATTAAAAATTGAAAACCCTTCATCGATGATGTCGTTAATATGAGCATGTATTTCAAAGGTATGTCGAAGAAAATTGAAAACTCTCAAAGGAACTTAAAAATTTTTGTCCAACGCAATTTAAAAAATTGAGATTAATAATTTTAAGAATTTGTGTAAGATTTGAATTACTTTCTATCTAATAATTTAAATTTATTTTGATAAAATATAATATTAGAGATGTATATTAACGTTATCATAATATAACTGCCGAAATTGCTCTTAAAATAATTTTAATCTGTGCCCAGATACGAATTCATGAGAAATCAAGCTAATGCTATTACGTTTTCGAAGCAAATGTTTTGAATAATTAATTTGTAGATTACTTGAGTTAATAATATGAAATTCAAATACGAACGAAAAAATATTCTTACAAATAAATTAAACCTTAAAATGTCCAACGTAACTAAGTGAATCCATATTTTTCCAACAATATTTTGAAAAATTGAATTTAGTATTTAAATTTACTTTTATGTTATTAATATTCAACATTGAATTTGGAAAAACATTTGAGAGAAATTCAAAAATATGAAGTTTTCCTTACTCACTCGCTCTATTCTCTATACTCATAAATATATTTTATAAATTAATATTAAAAAAATTAAAGAAAATTCAAAATATTTTCATGATAATCAAACCCATACATGTGTACTGAATCTTCAAGTTAATATCAGTTTGAATACTTTAAAATTGAAACCTGGTTAAAAAAAAATTTACGAATATTACGAGTATGTAAAAACGATTGTAAAATTATTCTCTAATATTTTTATTCTTTTTAGTTTTCTCTACACTCACTCATACTCATAAACACAAAGTCATTAAGTGAAAGAAACAAACAACCTGTTACTTGTTACAAAAGCTACTTGAAATTAAATGAAGATTTTTTTTTTAATAGTTTAACAAAGTGACGGAGATGATTAGTTTTTTTTTTCGATTTTTCTTTTATGTTATGTTTATTTTTTCTCTTTTAACATCTTTTATTAGTTTACAGTATTAGTAGCTTGTAATCTTCTATATATCGGTGCTCTATCTGATCTGTTTAAATAAAAAAGAAAAAAAGACATACATACATGAGATGCTCATAAGATCCTTTATATAAGAGTTTGTGATTTAAGATTTGTTTTTATTATTTTATTCGTTAATTTTTTATTTTCTCTGTTTATTCTTTTCTTTTTTTCTGTTTTATTAATTTGTGTAAATATTTTAAAATTTTATTTGTTTGCATCTTGTTTATTTAGTTGATCATTCTTAATTTGTAAGTTGAATCGTATACAACAATTTTTAAATTTTGTATACAATAAAACGTTAATATAATAGAAAGAGAAACCGACGGTTGGTCATTTAGTATAATTAATAAGAGTAATTCTATCATAATTAATAAAATTTTAAATGTAATCGAAAAAAATTTAATTTTATCGTTAAAATATCAGGATTTTGTTATTATATTAAATTGTAATAATATAATTATGACAAATATTAATATGGGCTTAAAACATGCTCTATTACAAAAAATTCAAAATGAACAAAATATAACAATGGAAACGAATCAAAATAACAAAATTATTAACGGTATGAAAATGTGTAATAACGGTATTAATGATAATAAAAATAATTATAACGGTAAAATTAATAGTGAAAATAATGATAATAAAAAAATAACCGATTTTAGTATAGAAAAAATTTTACAAAATAATTGTAATAAAAATTTACAACAATTTCCATTATCATTTAATTATAAAATACAAGATCAATTAAATTCGAAAACCGGACGAAATTTCAATTATAATTATGAAAATTTAAAATGTGATGATATTTTAGATTTATCAAAAACATCAGATAATACAAATTATTTAATAAAAAATTTTATAACAAATGATTTATTACCACTTAAACGATATCATTACAATAATCAAAATAATCAACACCAAAAAGGATATTTTAATGAACAATTACAATTACAAAATTCATATAATGCTATACGAAATAAACATAATAACAATAATAATTATAATCATAGTTGCAATAATGGTAACAATTATAATAATAAAAATAATGATATTATAATTAAACCAAAAGTTATTAAATATTGGAATACAATTAAAAATCCAAGATTAAATTTATTAAATGGTGGTAATTATTTTAATTTCAATAATAGTAAAGATAATAATTCTACAACATCTTCATATGAATTTTATTATAAAGCAATTAATTCAACAACAACCAATTTAATAAATCAAAATTATTATTATCATTATTATCATCAACAACATTTTCATTTGGCACAAAAACAACATCAACAAAATTTACATTTGCAAAAACAATATCAACAACAACTCTTTCAAAATTTAGAACAATTTAATATTGAACAACAGCAACAATCATCATCAATGCTATTATCAAATAAACAAAATACAATACATGGGATTATCAAAGATCAAAATACCAAAATATCAAATGGAATTCAAAAGAACAATACAACTTTAACATTATCGTCGTCAAATCAAACAGGAAAAATAGAAGGAACAACATCATCACCAGTATGGCCTTTAATAATGAATCATAGTAATAACAGTAATGCAATAAAATCAATTAACAATAATATTTCAATAAAAAATAATAATATGGTTACTACAAATGAGGAAAAAAATTTAAGAATAAATTCCTTATCAAAAGATAAAATTGTGGAAAATGAAGCATTAAAAATAGCAACAATTATTGATAATAACAATGATAAAGAAATAAATTTACATAACAAATTCAAATCGAATGAATCAAATTATAATAAAATCAAAAGAGATGAATACAATAATTCTGATCCAATATTAATCGATGACGAATTAAGTTTTAGATGTCACATATGTGATAAAGTTTTCGGATGTTCAAGCACATTAGAGGTAAAAGATTTCACATATTCAAAATTGAAAGTATACTGATTATTATAAAATATTCTATTTCATATTATTCTTGTATTATTGAGACAACTCTAGCCTAAAATCCTGTCCAAACAGAATCGTCTTTTATATAAAACAACTCATTAATAATTAGAAAGTGAATAACACTGATTCACTCCTTATTGGGCCCATATCGAAATGTATTTTAATGCCAAAGCCCAAAATATTTTAATTTCTCTCCACAAAATTATTCAATCCGAAATCCGAAACATTCCTTAGTTGAAGCATTCGAAATTTTTGCTTAAGAAATTTGTTCGTAATTCATTAATTTAACTACGTAACATTACAAATCTAAGCTTATTACCGACGGTAAACCGATTTTAATTCTTTAAAAACTATAAAGGTTTATAACTGGTTAATTATTTTGAATTCAAATGACTTCTCGTGTATAATAAACCTCTTTCATATTTTCATTTTTGCATAAAATCGAAATGTTTATACACAGAAATTTTATTTGCAGGTCCATAATGTAATCCTAATTGGCCATACAGACTTCTTTTTCTAACTCTCTCATTATTATTTATTTGTAAAAATTACCAGCTAACCTAAAATTTTAATTAAATTATATTAGTTTAATTTTTTAAAAATAATATATGTATGTATAATATGGTCCTATTAATCATCAGTATATTTCATTTCAGTTCCATATAATCAATTATAAAATCATATAATATGAGATATAATCATATCTCATATACTCGTAATTATATTTGATGTTCATATGAACGGCATAGAATAAAACAGGAATATTTATGTACATATATATGTATGAACGTCATGAAATTCCTTGAACAAATCAATGTAAATGAAATTTTAATCAATGTTTAGTCAACAATTCACTTGTTGCATATTTTGCGGAGTTGCGGTTTAGAAAATGTAAAAAAAATTGATACAATATTAGCAGTAACAACTTTAAAAATTGGACTTCAATTTCCAAAATCTTCACATTCTTTTACCCTCTAAAAATTCCTTAATAATATTATTTATTACTACTAATTGACTGCTATTATGGGTAAAAAAATTTGGTATTAATATAATATAATAACAATAAAAAAATTGATCTATACAAACATATATGTATGTATGTACAACCTTATACAAACATGCAATAAATATATTTTTATTTCAGACTCATATTAAAACACACAAATCACCACGTTATGAATGTATGGATTGTGGCAAAGGATTTTCTCAATTACGTAATTACAAATATCATTTATCGGTGCATCGTGGTACAAAAGAATTTGCAGCTGAATGTCCTGAATGTGGAAAAATATTTAATGATAAAGGATATTTAAGTAGTCATATGAAAATTCATCGAAATAAGAAAGAATATGAATGTCCATATTGTCCAAAATCATTTAACCAAAGAGTTGCATTTAATATGCATGTAAGAATTCATACTGGTGTAAAACCACATAAATGTTCTGAATGCGGTAAACGATTTTCAAGGAAAATGCTACTAAAACAACATATGAGAACACATAGTGGTGAAAAACCATATACATGTTCTGTATGTGGTAAATCGTTTGCTGATCGTAGTAATATGACATTGCATCATCGGTTACATTCGGGTATTAAACCATTTACATGTCCAATATGCCCAAAAGCTTTTACCAAAAAACATCATTTAAAAACCCATTTAAATTATCATACTGGTTGTAAACCATATGTATGTCCACATCAAAATTGTAATCAAGCATTTACACAATCAAGTAATATGAGAACTCATGCAAAAAAATGTCAATTTAAACCATTGGATGGAAATATTGATAATTTAAATAATACTAGTAGAGTTAATAATGCAAATAACATGATTAGAGTTCATTCCGAAATTAGTAATAATTTGCAATTAAGTCAAGAAGTTATTTTAGTTTAATTCTAGTTTCATTATAATGAAATTTCTTTTAGTAAATTTTGTTTTGTTGAATTATTTTTAAAATTATGTAGCACATTATAAGAATAATTATATGATAAATATGTAGAATGTACAGTATTTATGTGGATTAAATAATTTTTTTTAAAATATTTTTATATTCTATTTAAGTGGAAGTCAGCACTTAATACGTCAATTACGGATTTCCATAACAGCAGTGACTAACTTAACAACCAAATAATTGTTCAATAAGTGTGAATAATTCGAATTCATTTAAAAAACTAAAATGTGTACAGATATATTAGATTTGAAATAAAATTAATAATTTTACACAGAACAAGGTTCGCTATTCTTATGGTACACATAATATAGATACAGACTTTATCTTCTTTATATTTTATAAAGCTACATGCAAATACTTTTCAAAATTTTACAAATACATACCTTTGAGAGCTAAGCTCGGTCTACTTTATCGTTAGAACTTGGAATATACACCCATAATAAGTATGATAATATTACATAATATTATTTAAAAGTTTATAAGTATGTATATTCGAATAGCAGAACAGAAAATTCAAGCATCTATTCTATAAAGCCATAAAACCCCAATTAATGTAATGTAAGCAAGCAGGATATGAGACCCATTTTAATAGTTAAAATTTTGAAATATGTATGTATGTATATGTGTATATATAAAATAGACTCTCAAGATAATAGATAAAGGGTCTTATTCTTAGAACACCTTTTAAAATAGAAAGTTAAAATTTCATATATAATTACATCTTTATGTAATTATATATGATATTATCATATATATAATCACTTGTATTGAGTGACTATCATTACGTTAAAAATAATATAAAAAATATTTTTTTTGTTAATTTTTAATATGTAAGTATAAAATTATTTTAAATCTAAAAAATTTTTTTTTGTTTTGACGTTTACGGATGATCAAAATTCAAAGTCAATTACGGGTAAAAAGTTTACTACATTTCTGTCCGTAAAAGTTTTATACGTCAGACAGTTTGCAGACTGAAAACAAAATTTTGACGTTAAAGAATTTGCGGTTATTCTGCCGCGGCATAGCATAGTTGAACTCTACAAAATAACTAAACATAAAAATTTACGGTTTTTTAAAATCCGTTTTTTTTTTTTTTCAAATTTATGTTATTGTTTTTTCTCTACACGGTAAGATAATAGGAGTCTGAAATTTTAACAACTTTTAGATATTAATAAATAGTTTATTTTAGAAGCAAATTTTATTCCACCTCAATCCCCTTGTATTTTCGGCACATTATATTTCCCAAAACGGCAGCTTTTTCAAATTTCTACAAAAGCGAAGAGGTAAAAAACGATACTCGTAAATGCCATGTCATTAAAATATATAATTATTTATCTTAATACATTCAATTTTTAAATTCAGCATTATGTTAACACCTCTTTAATTTGCTCTTTTTGTCTCATCCTAAATTTATGCATTGGTATATGAATGAAAGTAATTTAAATAATATGATAAACTATTTTTAAAAACAGGTATAGTTACTTGTTTAAGGGAAGTGCTCCTTTACAAACTTTATTAAATAACAATTTGAAATTATGGAATTCATTCCTTAATTAAATAGTTATCATTTATTAATGGCAGAGCCTAAACCGCCTAATCAGTCTTATTCGAATCCTAAAAATATATATTTTGAACTTTTATATATTTATTTTATATATATAGACAAGACAATTTATATATTTAGACAAGACACAAACCAATTTATTAAAAAATTTTTAGTTTGAGTATTTTTCAAAATTTCCCAAATCATAAAAGACTTAAAAATTCCTATCAGCTGTTTGATTCAGTAAACGAATTCTATCAGCTGTAATGTAAATGATTTTTAGTACAATATGATTGATTACTTTGACACTTTAATATATAAATTTTCAAAATTTGAATTTGAAGTATTACCTAGTCTTTTTTAAATTTCTGAAACGATTTTGTACTATAAAAAGATTAAGTTTTGATCAAATAACGACTTATTATTTTATATTAATACTTGTTCATCATTTGATACTGAAAATTTCAACAAAAATTACCAAATATACAAATTAAAGCACTTAAAGGAATGTCAAATAATTAATTAAAAAATATATTTTTGATCAAATGCGCCCAATCGCTCAGAAGAAAATGAAAGAAGTTGCCGAGAATCACGTCGTGAAGAAAAAACTGAAAATTATTGACCGGATACATGCGATAAGGCAATACAAGCAGAACATGCAACAATTGAGATTATCTTGAGATTTGTGCGACATATTTTAAATGGTGTAAGAACATATGTACATACATACATACATATTAAATAATAAATATGGAGTTAATGTAATACGAATTGTATGTACATATGTATGTATGTATGTAAATTTTTCCTTTTTATTGCAGATACCGGAGCAACACCTAAATAGGATCTTTTCTGATATCTTGAGTATTTTAGAAAAGCGCAGAAAGTGTAGAAATTAAAATATAATAAAGCGCTTTATCGTTTCTATTATTTTCTATATCTTTTTCAGATAATCCCGAACGTACGAGCAAGTACATAGTATAATTATGTGAGTACATGTGTCTAAAATCTTGTTAAACTAGAATAAAAATAATTTAAAAATACATACATACATATATGTTTTTTCCTTTTTTGTAATGGTCTAAATGGCATGATTAAATTAATTTTAATTTGGGTTTAAAAAAATACATACCTGGACTACAGACGAACTCGCTCTCCCATGATTTTTATCAAAAACATTATGACTTCATAAATGTTATAGAAAATCAAAATAGCGATGAAAAAACTTGATAAGGTTATTTTACATATAAGTAGTCTTGTTGCTAATTCCACATTCCTTACTAAAATCCAAAGTATTAATGGATTTAAAAAACCAGCTTCAAAATTTAAGAAAATTCAAGTGATTTGTTTTTTGTTTTCTTTTTTTTCTATTTTGGTTGATATAATAATTTTACTCTTCGTATAACAAAATCCATTTTAGTCTGAAAACAGAAGATAGCCAAGAGTATATTTATCAAATTCCAATTTATTAAATTCTATTTATAATTCATTTTGCAATTCCATTAGCAATTGCATGATCTACAATTTTTCAATATTAATTGTTCATTAATAATAATTAAAAATAAAGTAGGTTCTTAAATTTTTACTACAAAAAAGAAAAAAACTATCAAGGGTCTATATCAAAATAAAAAAACATTTAGTATGCTGAAAGTAATGAAGAAAAACCCTACACATAATAGTTTTACTTGCCTTAGTCAATTAGTTCTACTTGTCAGACTGACATAATTTGAGTGTATAAAAATCATACATTTTAAAAGAGGAACTCAAAAGTGTAATAAAAGTTTCATATATTTTTGGTCCTGTTAACATATCAATACATTGCACGTGATAATTGAAATTTCTCGTGATAATTCAGGATACATAAAATAATACACGTCATATTTCCAATAAATTTTTACAATTTAAAATTTTTATTTTAATAAACAATAACGTTTTTAAAAATTTTTTCATCGAAAAAAAATTAATTCTTTTTTCAATCACATTCTCATTTACTTTTGACAATCGCGAAAAGTTATAAATAGAGGTGAAATTTTTAATTATTTAATTTAAAAGAAAATATAGAAGAGAGAAGTCCATTTTTATTTTATCAAGAGAAAAGTTGAAGAAATCGAAGGACGAAAAATATAGGGAAAATATTTTATATCTTTAAATACAATTCTTTTTAGATTTCAATTGAATAACATTAAAATATTTTTGAAATTCTTAGGGAATTTAAATAGAAACTAAAAATGGATCAAGAACAATTAATAATTGTATTCGGAATTTTAATTTTCTTGTTTGGATTAGTTATTTTGTATTATTGTTTTTGTAAATACAAAACATATTGGAAAAATCGAAATCAATATTATAAGTTGAGGAATGTTGAAATTGATTTGTGTGATTCTATAAGCGAATGTAGTTTACGAACAAATGTTTCGGTTCAAAATTCTTGTAAAACATATTCAATTAGTAGCTTGAAATCTCATAACAGTCAGGAGAGTAATAAAAGTCTAGATAGCGATAAAAAAATTGTTTTTTTGTATAAATATGAGAAGGATTTTGTTTCAACTGATTCGGAAACATTTGTAGTATCGGGAAAATCAAATGAAACATTTGTAATATCGGGAAAATCAAATGAAACATTTGTTGTGTCGGGAAATTCAAATGAAACTTTTATAATTGATGATTAATTTCCAGAAGTAAATTTTGAAAATTCGGTTAGTTATTTGTGTTATTTTGAAAGAAGAAAAAAATATTTGAATAGTTTCCGTAGTTTACCAGGAAAATTTAATGTTTAAATACAAATGAATTAAATTTTGTAGTAGCAAAGTCAAATTTTGATTGAAATTCATTGTGCAGCAGATATTGATTTTAATTTCTATTTTTTTACTTTTTAAAATATATCAGTGTGTTTATTAAATTTATTATTAGTTGAAATTATATTCTTAAATATCTTTTATTAATTTAGAATAACTATGAAATTTATTAATTTTTTTCTTTTTGGATTATATCGAAAAAATCATACTTTTTAATTAAATTCTAACTTTTATTTGTTGATATTATGTTCGATAATTGTTTTGCAATTTTTTTGCGTAAACAATGAGAGATATTGCAAGATCGGGAAAAGTTAAACCTCAGGTTTACCTTTTGTTGTCGGTGCAGAATACGAACAAAATTGTTATCACATTTAAAGTTAGAATTTCGATAAAAAGTATGATTTTTTTTTGGTATAGTTTAAAAGAGAAAAATTAAGTAAAATTTTAAGAAAGTTATTTATTAATAAAATTGAGGGTTAAAAGGTATTAAGGAATATAATTTTGGTTGATACTTTTAAAAATCCATTGACATATTTCGAAAAGTGAAAAAGTGGAAGCAAAAATCAATATCTGCTGCGCACACAATTTTATTTGAAGCACGAAA